ATAGATATAAAAGGGTACTGATCAATCACCGTAGAAATGAGTTCAAATTCTGATTCAAGATTATCAGCCCATACTTCTCGAATTTTGATAGCCATGACGTTTAATCTCCAAAATCCTTAAACGGGTAATCTCTAAAATTGAAAAAAGATATGGGTTTTGAATGGAAGAGGATGTTGTTCGATTTGGTGGAGAGTGGTTTTTATAGGAAGAAGGGTGAAGTGAATAAAGATAAAGAATATGTTATTGCATAGGACAGGGAGAAGAAGAGGTGGGGATGTAATAAATTAAGAAACAGAAAAGGAGGCAAGTGGAGAGTTCAGTGGTTTGCAGAAGGAGAAAGGAAAGAGATGGGATGGCAAAATGAAATGGGGAGGTTTTTGGTCTATGTTCAACGCGTTTGAGTGGTTTGACTGATAAAGTAAAAGGCTGCTAGTACAGTAATATAAAATTTTGGTTTATAATATCAATAATACACGTCTTAAGTTATGCAAGATTCATACTATATTATTTTATGTTAGATTAAACATCGAATAAAATTATGTGTATTAGCCATGAGATAATATTTTAAGAAGAAAATGACCTTTTAATTAAGTAATTCATATAGTATAATACGTTTTTTTTTATTATTAATGACTACATAATAATATTTTCATTATTAATCAGCACATAAATTGGCATTATACTTTCTGCATATTTAGCACTCAATGTGAATAAATGATTCCTTAAGTATATTTGAATAAATTTGTATCATCTAATTATAATTTTAATATATTTTAATTTTTTTTGTGATTCTTTAAATAAATTATTTACCTTAGTGTAAACACTAGGGGTGTACAAACCAAATCGAAAAGTCAAACCAAATCGATTAAAAAACCCGATTAGATTTGGTTTGGTATTAAGTAAAAAAAACCTGAACCAAACCGATATATAAATATATAATTTTTATATATACTTTTAAAACTTTTTATAGAATTTTCTTTAAAAAATATTTAGAAATATTTGCGATTCTCTTATAGGATGTAATATTTAGTTAAATATGAAGTGCTCCATATTTATTAACTTTAAATAATGGGTTGTGTGGTCACTTTCTTATCAAGTGTTAGTGAAATATACCAATCTCTTTGTTCTCCTATATTTATATGTCAAGATCTGTTAAATTCTTATATCTTGTCGAATTTGAAATAGTATTTCGATAATTTAAAATTAAATAGAACATATCATTACATAGGTTCATATTTATTTTTATGTTTAATTATTAATTAAATTCGATTAATCTTGAAAGTTTACATCAACGTAAAATTATTGTCAGACGATTAAAAAATAACTATCATGTGTTACTAAGAAAATTCTTTCATAAGAATATTTAATAGATCATATATTTACTTATTAAAAATTTAATAAAGAAAGATTGAAACAATATTCATATAACAAAAAAACCCGAAAAAATCGATAAAATCAAACCAATCCAAACCGAGATAGTTGATTTGATTTTGATAAAAACCGAACCAACCCGATCCATGTACCCATAGTAAACACGAAGTGCAATGAACATAAAGTATGAATGTTTTCACAGTGTAGTATGGGCAACTTCTTTAAAGAGGGAATGGATTTCGCTCTGCAGACTGGAAGTGAGCCAAGCAAGTACCGATTTTGTTTTTTTGTGAAATTGTGGATTATTTTGATAGTTTGAGAAATGAGACACTTGCATGGCGGTGCACGTACAAAATTACTAATATAATATTTTAGGAAAATCTGGTTTTAGTGTTCTTGTTTGAGTGAGGCACGAGGAAACTATTGGAATTGAGTCATCAAATGATTGAGAAATTAACAAAAGGAGTAGATTTAAAGAGTAGACTCATGAGGCTATTTTTATCACAGGAGAAGTATGTTTCTTTCTGCTCGAGACAAACTAATGAGAGCTTTATCGGTTTCCTTTTCTTTGAAAAGAAATAGGTTTTTGAAAAATAATCTACTCCCATCATATAATTAGATGCTAAACTAAAAATTGCAGTAGGATAAGGTACAAATTTAGCGAAATAAAAAAAAATGCAATAATAAAATAATTTCGTACTTTAAAACTAAATGGATTAGTGATTACAGTTGACTAAAAATCTTATATGCGAATAGAAATTATTTAGAGTAACGTGATTTTGAACCTTTAACTTTTAATGCAAGACGTATATTTTGATAAGCAGGATTAAAACAAAGAAACATTTTTTTAATGATAAGACACCACAGGAAAGAAAAAGTAAAACTCTAAAAAGAGTTGTGGATATTTCTTTCTCATTTCCACTGGCGTGGAGTTTTACGAATCTTAATACTATTGTATGTACTGTATCAATTAAATTAGTAAGATAAAAGGCTTTAATCATTGATTTACTTTTTAATATGTTCTTATTTAGAAACGTGATAAAGGAGGGGAGTCAGCCTTTTGGTGCCAGTCAACGTTGATATTGTTGCCTTTTCAGAAGACTCATTCTATGGCCTTTCCGTAATTGGAATTTAGTACTCAGGTATGTAGTACTTAGTTAAGTGTTTTCTAGTACTACTAGATAATCCTCCTCTATGTTGATTTGACTCTAATTTTTTATACTGATTTCTGGTCAATCATGTTCACTCCTGAAGTGTAAAGACAGTGCTGTGGTACAAAAATAAACATTCCTTTTCATGTGGTCAAGAAATCCCAAAAACTTCAAGAGACGAAAAAACAAAATTGAACGCCGTTGCCGGGGATCGAACCCGGGTCACCCGCGTGACAGGCGGGAATACTCACCACTATACTACAACGACTTGGTTGTGAGTTTGCGACATTTGGTTAAATGTAATCGGTAAAGCAACCGAAGAAATTAATGTTTTAAAGCAATTACTAGTTACTAGGTATAAAGTGGGATAACCCCGATACCAGTTTGACCATCATCAGTAGTATCCCCGATACTAGGGGTGTAAATTAGGGTTGAGAATATATCGGGTAATTGATAGCCCGAACCGATAAAATGCTATTGGGTTATCGATATCGGGTTATTGAGTAAATTGTTCGATGACGGTTTTATATTATTTGGCTATTGGGTAATTGGTTCGGGTTTCGGTTTGTCCAATTTTATTAACAGTTTAACCGATAGCCCAATAAGTTTTAACAAAATTATTATTTTACTCACTAAGTATATAAAGTCAAATTATGGTTTCATTCTCTCAATTCTCTCGGCAGTTACTCTTCATTTTCAAACTTTAATTCTTAGAGTAAGTTTTAAACTTTTCTGAATTTATCATCTTAATTCTTCAGTTAAGATTTTTAGTTTTATACTTTTTGTTTAGATTTTTAGTTCTTCTATTTGTTTCTTTTGTTGCACATTCTTTTGTATTTACAAGATTAGGATTTTATTATTTTTCATTCATTATGCCCACCCGTAAGTGAGATAGTTAGTAAGATTAGATTGTTGAATGTCTTATTCCTTACTCCTACTAACTTATAACTCTAAAAATTGATATCATATTGAGATTTTCAAATGTAAATTAAAGAAAGTTTTCTTTTTTAAAGTTGAAATTTAATCCATCTTTTCTTATGAGCTAAAATTCAGTTCCTTTCTCTTAGAAGTATGATCACGATTTTCTATAATAAAAATATGATTTGTTTCGGATATTTTTTATTCTTATCGGGTAAATCGATAACCGACAAACCGATACCCGACAACCGATATCTTATCGGTTCGGTTATCGATTTTGCATATTTATAAACCGACAACCGATATGCCGAACCGATAACATTCACAACCGGACCGAACCGACCGATGCCCACCCCTAGTATAAATGGATATTTAAAAATCGATTAAACCGATCGAACCGTACCGTACCGATTTTTAACTTTCTTTTAATAAAACCATAGGTTTTTATATAAATCTATAACTGTACCGATAATTAGGGTATATTTTTATTTTATAAAAATAAATTAAAAAATTACCGAACCGTACCGAATAAATTTACATGGAAAAAATATATTTATATATTAAGTTTAAAAATAATAAAGCATTAATATAAGTTTTTCCTTGCGCATTGGAATTACGAAAACGGTTACAAGACAACAACTAATTAAACTCAAAATCCTAATTCCCAAACCTATTATACTACTCATATTGAACTAAACTATTTCCAACATATTCACTAGTAAGACACAAGGTATTCTAGCGATTATGAGTAACAAACTACGATGTATTGAATATGTTTCCTTTTGTATGATTTAAATTTATATTTTCGAATATTTAATCTTCTATAGACTTTATTTTTGAGTCTCAACTTGCTTAATATCTTTCCACTCTTGTGATTTATATTTTTTGTCTTTGCTTAGTTTCTTTTACGCTTAATGGATCTATACTCTAGTCATCTTTCATGTTTTCTTAATTCATCACCCTTTAAATAGTAAAAATATCTAAAGAATTTTGCCAAGTCCTATAAAAGTACGTATGTTATTGTATTTTGCTTCTACTAGTACTTTTAAATGATATTTAAAAAATATCGAAAATTTACCAAAGTGTACCGATACCGAAGAGAAACCGATATGATTGGTACAATTTCTAAAAGTCTAAGTTTGGTTATACATAATAGAATAACCGAAAAATTGATATGGTACAAATTTTATAAAATAACCGGCCGAACTGAACCATTGACACCCCTACCCGATACCAGTTTGACCATCTCAGTATTTGAATATTTGTGAATTATTAAAAACTTGTTTGAAACGTATCATTGGGCAACTCCTTTTTTTTCGTTATTTTTTAGGCCAGCTATCATTGGGCAACTCTGAATACCCTTTTTTCGACTTCCACAGTTCCACCAAATATTATCCAAGCGCCTAGTTCAAAGCATGGAGTGATCACAATACCTAAGCTTAGCAGACAAAAGGGACTCCTCCCTCCAACTTAATGTAACAAGTGATATGCAATTGAGTTATTAATTAGAAAGTTGCTAATCAGTTCTTGAATATTAATCCATAGAACATAGGCAAGGAATGTCAAGAAAGTTGTCAAAGCAGTTGCATGATCCAATAAATTAATCCCTTGACGTTTAACTTGGACACATAATTGCAACAATTTAAGGGTACAGGAGAAATTGAGTCTATACATTTCCATCTTACATTATACACTTCTTGTGGCTACTCCATTCAGAAAAAGGTACCTTCTCGGGGTTGAACAAGCTTTCGGTTGTGTGGTGCAACCATTTCTTTTCTCAACTTAGTCAGTATATCTTCCATGGTGTATTCTCTCTGCCAATTTTCCAGCATACGGAACTTCTTTGCTTCAACCTATCACCATAATATTAAAGTGACTTTCTGCCGCTTCCAACAAAACCAGGAAATATGAACTCGTGTATCGAAATATATAAATTGGAGTCAAGTGATAGCTCCACAGGAAACCTTTCCCTCCAATAAGAGATACTAATCAATTAAGCTATTCAGAAATAGAACTTACCAACCAATCCTGAAAGATAGAACCTAGTGAACAATATTGCAACAAAAAGGGAACATTACCACTCCATTCTCGGGGTTCACACAAGTCATGTTGATGCGTGAATGGAAACGAACACTTGGAGGTTTGTCTGGATAGTCTTTGTCACAGAACAACTTCAACTGATAAATACGTCCCTGATGTATGTCCTGACAATTGAGAAAACGGGGGGAAATGGTCAATTACAAGCATCGTGATGGACCAATGAAGTGTTTCTCTCAGCATGTTCTTTCGAGAATGTTCTGCGCTTCACGCGAAGTTGCAAGTACTTTTACCAAAAAACTACATAATATGAGGATAGACTATGCACGCTGCTCCTAATCATAAATACAATACTTGTAATCTGGACAGGCTAGAGCAATAACAGTATACTAATTTGCCACAAAGTGGTTCAAGCGCTCTTCGGTCGTTCTTGATCAAGATTGCCATGCATTATTAGGTCCCAGACAAATCATAAGGATTTTATTTTTGCACATAAATATATTATTAGGTGGAAGAAAATCAATCACATATATGAAGTACTCAAAACAGAAAACTTATGGAAAGAAAGCCATGTACTTTTCCTATCCTGGTGCACATCTCCTTGCTCGGTTCTGCCACAACTTTCCTTGGGCATTTTCGATTAGTATAACTGCCGAAGTACTAATCTTACTACTATTTTTTCGTAAAATAGACCACACAAGGATTATCACACACCACTGAACTTGACAAAAATTGACCTGGTCTCTTTCTTGAACGATGTGTGACAGGCCTTGTATTTCTTTTTATTGCCCCAATTGCAGGAAGTAAATAGGGGGATTAGGTGGGTCATGCTTGAGAGAATTCGGGAAGTTCTAGCAGGTTGGAAAAGAGATGGCGAGCAATACAGTCAGAAAGAGAGATGGAAGATTGTCCCCGCTTGCATATGGTGGACAATTTGTTAAGAAAGGAATCAAAGGCGTTTTGAAAACAACCACAGTCCTATACATAAGTTGAAGATGAGCTGTCTAGTGCTCTATTATTTTTGGTGTAAACAGGAGTATTTAGAAGAATGTGAATCTATTTTTGATGTCTTAGATTATTTATGAGTACACAGAGGACTAAACTCTCTTCTAGTACTCCTTCATGTAATTATGGATGGCTACACAGCTTTTGTGTAGTCCACTTTTTATTAATATAAATATGTTACCTTCTCAAAAAAAAAAAAAAAAAGTTGCAGGAAGTAAATAGAAGAATTTTAGATATATCTATAATCTGTTCTTGACTTTTTCTCAAATGTGCAGGAGTCCCATAGTTGCAGATATTATAATTAACCTTTAACATCCAAAAGAAGTTTAGTTCACCAGTTACGGTCTCAAGATACACAGTTTCACTTGTTTTAATATACAAGTACTGCAAAATAAGAAACATATATTGCCTTAGGGCAGAAGATATACAATGTTCAATACGCTACTTGATCAAGCAATCATACTTTACCAACTTGATTCAATTGATTTTGGAGAAATATTAGCCAACTAGTCCATACATGAACTTCTTATATGATAAATCTCCTTCAAAGCAGTTGAAAAAAGGTTCACATTACGAAATGAATTAACAAACCAAAACTTCTACAGCTTAAGAGAAAACAATAAAACAGAGATCACTAATGAAAACTTTTACCATCCGGAGACAGGAAAACACAGGTTTGAGAAGACCTTACATTATGAGGACCAATTATTGTTCCAGTCCAAGAACGCATAAAAACATCATCTGCATCATCCATCCCGTAGCTAACAGAACCATCTCCAATACCTTTTTCACCACGTTCAAGTTCCTCAAGCAACCTAAAGTTCCGTGGGACTAATGAAAAAGAAGACATTACTATGCATGATTCATTGTCCTGATTTTCATATATGGAAATGAAGTACAGAGAAATTTCAAACGTCAAGTGAATTTATAGGGTGACAAGTAAGATAAGAGGACAGACATTTAAGTCCAAAATCTGATGCACTGATAAATTCATAAGAGAAGGGGGGGGGGGGGGGGGGGGGAGATAGGGAAGTGATTATGAACAGAGCAGTACAGTCGAAAAATGAGCAAAACATTCATTTTGGTGACAGTCATCCATGTGAATTGCTGAAACATGGGATAACAATCTAAACTGACTCCACTACAATACGTCAACGGAAAATCAAACTCTGCACAATGACTTCATAAATTATAGTTTTATACGTCAAATGTCTTGAAAAACACGGATGGTGTGAAAAGTACATATACAATTTAAGCAACTGCGCTATTCTTGATATCCTAAAAAGCTTACCCAACTATTTGTGTAAGAGGTTTGCTTTCTGTAGTCATAAGTATAAGTGAAACCAAAAAGAAACTCTTTGTATTTCTTAAACTCTTTTCTACCACTTGAAACATCTTCCTACTTCTTCCCTCCAAATTGTCCAAAAAAGGCATAACAGGCTAACTTCTCCTGCTGTTTTCATCTCAATCCCCAACTTTTTTTAACCTCCAACTAGCCATAGCCTCTAGCATTGTCTTTGGGGAGGTACCCATTTCTTATCGAATAAAATGAACACCACTTCCAAAAGCTGGTTTTGCATATGCAAGAAGCAAAATGTGAGGGAAGATTCAGAAGTAATTCAATTGCTGCTCCCGACAACGAAGCCAATGAACCTCATGATGCCATCTTCTCTTCATACAAGCACTTCCATCCTCCATAAGGGTCTATAACTTCATCTCAACCATCAATTATTAAATATCCCTTATTTAGCACGGTCATGTTCTTTACTTCTTTTTGAACCATTCCATCAAATTTCCAAAGCCATTACCCAAGAAAGCCATTTTGAAAAACTCCAGTCTCCTTATCCATCCTCTCCCTTATTAGGGTTATTATTTTTCCACTCCACCAGGTAGACTAGAATTTTTTCTGTCTACCCACAAAAAGTTCCTTATCATTTTATCCAACTTCTTTTGCTATAGCCATAAGGATAAAATTCAATAATAAAGTATGTGGATATGCTAGACAGTGCAAATTTCAACAATGTTAAGTTTCACCTTTTAATAAATACTATCTCTTTCACCCACTTAATCTCCTATCAAATTATTCAGTCACTGACTGTTACAGAGTCCATCTAAGTAGTGAGTCAATTTATCTAAGATCTAGTCATAACGGTGAAATTTCTTCCAAGTTGCTACTTCAAATGTACCTCGGAAACGTAACCACTTTACAGCTGCAAATCAGCACTAAGTTATGATTGTCCTGCATATCCCTAACTGGTATTAGTTAAGACTTAGCCATGTTAATGCGTGATCTTGATATTTTCAGACCATAAGAGTGTCCTGACCAGTATGAAGCAGTCTAGGACAAGACCCACAAAAAATCAAAGTGTCATCTGCTAATAGCAAGTGAAATATAGCCCTGCATTCACCTGAATCATTCCCACATTGAAGCCCCAAATAAAACCCCCAGTCACTATTTTGTCCATCAATTTAAATATACATTTTTCAGCTCAAAACAGCACACATGCAGAGAGTATCACATCAAAGCAAGGTCAGAATAGAGAAGATAACAAGAGGGATAATTTTGGCAAAGAACTTCTGAAAACTGTCGGCTTTCAGTATCAAACACCACACTTTATATTAGTAGGACAATTTGGATTCTGCAGTGCAGTGCCCATACAACTAACAAAATGAGACCGGAGACAAGCAAACATTAATGAAAAAACTGCCAATTTGATCCAGGTTATCACATAAAACAGTTAGGACTACAAAGACGGGAAGAACAGTAAAATTCCTGCAGCAGCACCCACCATACACCCATAAACACTCAAAACATAAACTAAACTATAAAAGCATATCAAATAATAAAGACAGAAACTACTCTCGATTCCAAACTAGTTGGTGTGATAATATGAATACTCTATATCCATTCCCACTATTTGGACGCATTTTACTCCAAAGCACATAAGAAAATTTAAATAGCTTCTTTTAAAATAAAAAAAAGGAATTAGCTGAAAGCACAGTCAAATTAAACACTTGAGACACAACCCTAAAACCATGGTGTAGCTAGAACCTACTTCACTTTCCAACAGTAAGCAAAATTAACTACAATCATAAAGTCCCAACATGGAATTGCACATACCCAATTGCTAATACAACTTGAAAATGGTGGAGGTCATATGTATAGAGGATTAAATAATAATAAAAAACAAAACTTTCAAGCAAGAACTCACCAACTACGCTAGATCCTCCTGAACCAAGAGTCATTGAGGTTTTTTGATATATAAGTTACAGCCTTAAAGATCAGAGCTTTATTTTCTTGAAGATATGCAAACTTCAGCTAACCGAAAAGGAGAAGAAAAAGCAAAAGCAGCAATGGTAAGGGGAGCAGGCCACGGTAATTTAACACGGAATATGAATATTGATATCTTCCCAAGGAGGATCTTTTCCGTTTGCAAAAAAGATGAAATTTGCGTTGAAAGTAGAAAAAGAAAAAACAAAATAATACGGGAGATATTTTTTCAAGTGGGGGTATTCGGTTAAATAGTCCATTAGGGAAAAGGCTGAATACAACTTTTGTGGTAATCGAAATGGCTCACTGGTAACTTCCGCAACTCCGTTTGCAAACTAGCTTATCTGTCCCCTTGCCATTAAATGACTAGCTTATTACTACCCTCTAGTATTAACGGGTCTTTTAAAGGCTAATTTTTTTTCTTGAAAATTCTACAGCTGCATGTGGCACATTAAATCACCCCCTTTAAATATTTTTTATCATTCCCCCACCCACTTATTTACCCACCCTCCCCAATTCTTTTTACAACCATCTTTTAACCTAATCAAAACATTCGATTTCACCCAATTTTCTCTTCTAGGATTCTAAAATCGGCAACCAATCTTCTTCTACAGGGTTATTTTAAAAAGGCAAAACATTCTTATTTACATTTGTACTTGTTCGCACTTGTCATCTCGGTCCTTGTACTCAACGAAATTTCATCCACGCACTTATAATTGTTCAAAATTAATATTTTAAATCTCTCTGACTGTTGACTGAGTCTATGTGGCAGCTTGACAACTGAACTGGACAAAATACATGTATTTCACGCATATATGGAGCGTGAGTATAATTATTTAAACCATAAAATAATTAAAATGATAAAAAAGAAAAAGACAAAAAGCTAAATACAAAGAAAAGCCAATGAGTGTTTTCTCTTTACTTTTTTCCCCCCTCCCCCTTCCCCATTTTTCTCTCTCCTACTCCCTTCTTCAAGTTATTACCTCTTCCCTATTTTAACCCAAAATCCAACTACAATACAACTGTTTTCACCACCTCTCATCCACCACAAATGTTACTCGTCGCCCCAGATTCAAAAATATTCCCAAATTGATAACAACTTATGAAAAAAGTTCTTTCTAAATCCCCCATTTTTGTCCCAGATTCAAAAATATTCCCAAATTGGTAACAACTTATGAAGAAAGTTCTTTTCTAAATCCTCCATTTTCTCCCCCTCCCCCCACCCCCCAGCTTCTGAAGACGAGTTTTTGCAAAAAAAAAAAAAAAAAAAAAAAAAAAAAAAAAAAAAAAAAAAATAGAAAAAGTGCAAAAAGATCTCCGACGAGCCGTTTTTCGGTAGAGGAATCTTAAAAAAACTTAGGGTGAGTTTCCAGTGAGATGGTTTTTAGGAGTCGTTTCGGATCGATTCTTTTTTGTAGTTGATTGGCGGTGCTATGATACAGTATTGGATGTGAAAAAACTTTTTAGGTCAAGGGTGATTGGAGAGGAATTGCAAACTTGGTTGGGCGATTTTTAAAAGTTGAGTTGAAAAAGAAAAAGAAAAATGAAGATTAAAAAAGTGATTACCGATGAAAAACAAGAGTTAGATAAATCCTTTCTCTCGTTGTTTGTATCATAACATTGTAATGTTACTCAGTAGGCTATTTTGAAGGTGATGGTAAATGTGGTGAATTTTGAAAAATAAAGATGGTGAGTGAGGAGGAAGGTGATGAAGTGGATGGTGGAATGGAAAAAGAAAAAATATAATTTTTAAATAATATTAAAAAATAAATTAAATAAGAAAGAAAATCTGATGTGGATACTGATTTGGCATCCACATCAGGGTGTTTGAAGAACACATGCAATTAGAGGGTTTAAAATATTAATTTAGAATAATTATAAGTGTGGATGAAACTTCATTGAGTACAAGGACCAAGATGATAAACGCAAATAAGTATAAGTGTATATTAGGCTATTGTGCATTTTAAAATTTTTGCTTCTTCTTCAATTCCAAGTAAGATTAAATATGTCTGATTGTTCTAGTACTTCTGTTGGGTCGAAAATGAGGTGTTACTACGATCTCGCTTATACTCGTGATAATGCTGATAGGCATTTTTTTAAGTGCTCAAAACCTTATGTAATTTGGTTTCTTTGATTATTATTTTGACAGTTTGTTTATCTTGTCATGGAATGTTTATGTTAATTTTTTGTGTTTTTATCTTTGACTGGAGAAATCATGTGGTTATTTTGAATGGGAGGATGATGAATTACCTCAGAGAGTTAAAAATTTGATTAGCAGTCTTAAAAATAAATTGGATGTTGTTGTAGTTGAAAGAAATCGAAGAAGAAGAAGAAGGATGACTATGATGTTGTTGCTGCTATTGAGGCTCAAACTATAGCCAAATTGAGTCAAAAAGTAGTTGAAAGGAATATTTTGAAGAAGAAATTGGCTGATTATGAAGATGTTTCTGCTATTGATGCTAGAACTATAACAAACTTGAGGAAACAATAGCGCAACAATGAATTTTGATCTGTGACTTATGTGGTTGCTTGGTTGGACTCGTTGCATGGTTGTTGAAGTAAAGTATGAAGTTAGAAACGATTACTAGTTAGTTAATCTGTTTAGGGGATTTTGTTGTTAGTTGAAACAAAGTGTAATATGTGTTGTTGTAATGAAATTTTTATGGTTTAATGTAATAGTTTGCCTATCTCTGTTTTTTGAATTGGCTAATTAATCATTTTTCTGCTGCTACATGAATGTTGGAGTTAACATAGTATATAAAAAAGTACAGATAATAAATACCATTCAATTTGTAAATAGAATGAACAAGACTTAAAAATCTGGAATGATAATGTGGGATACAATTTGATATATTAAACAAGGCTTAAACAAGAATGTTATCATAAATAGTTGTCACAACCAACCGAATTGATAACCACAAATAGGTAATAAGTTTATAGTATCATAACTACCTTAAACCTATAGGTGGTTAACCGCAGAAAGGTACAATTAGTAGCCTACGAATATCACAAATATCACAAGTTATAGATATTAGTCTTTACAAAAATCACCGGGGACTGACATATTTACTGAATAAAAACTAGAATAAACTTCTAAATCATCTCCATTATGCAGGTGCTCCCTTCCCTTTTTTTTCCTTCATCTTGGTCCTTTTCATTTTCACTTCAACTAGTAGCTGACTTGTTGTTATTGCCTCATTTCCCTTCCAGGTGCATTTGATTGGTTTAAAAGGTAGAGAAGTTGGATTTTGTTGTACATGTGTTATCTCCCCTAAACTTGATCTTCCTTGATTCAACATTTTCACCAGCCTGCATTATTTTCCTTGGTTCCAATCTTGTTTGTGTCTCATACATAACCATTGGTCTCAAAGGAGGGTCTTCCTCTTCACCAACTTCTGGTTCATAAACCATGTAGTGTTGTGTTTCAGGCTGGCTCTCAAAGACAGACTGTTGTGATTGTTGAGTTACAACATCCAGATGATATTCATAAATTACTGAGCTTTGGCTGTCCGTTTGACTACAACCTACCCTTTTCTTATTTTGTTGGATTATTCCAGCTAAGTTTTCCTAACAGCCCAATAAAATTCTAACATTAATAATAGGCATACACACAAGAGAAAAGTAAACTTTAAATAATTGATTTACCTTGTGACATCCCCTTGCATTGTGGTTATGTTCACTACAATTGCTGCATGTAACTGGAAGTCCTCTCTTGGAAATACTCCACTCTCCCTTTATCTTCCTTGCCTCTTTTAGCTCACGGTTTCTCTTCACTTTGGGCCTTCCAACCATCTTCACAATTTTAGGTGGTTCTATATGTCGTGAATAATCAATTTTCTAGAACTTTTGCCCTCTCACAAGCATGAACTTGCGCTTATAGGTGAGTAAATAAGCTTCTCTACTGTACCACTAATTGATTTTAGTTAAGGGATCCAGCTTCTTGTGTTGTAATGCTTTGATAGCATGTGGGCATAGGATTCCACTAAAATCGCATAGTCTACATGTGCATCTTTTAGACTCCAAATTTACAGTATGGGTGTCATCACCCTCTCTCTCCCCATAGCCATAACCACCATTAAAAGTCATCACATAGAAATGTGCAATACCTAGGTAGTCATTATACAACTTCAAACATTATGGAATGAAATTACAAGTCCAAGTTAAAGCCTTTGATTCATTTGTTGCCAACATTTCCATGACCTTCACCTTATTTTCTCCAGCATTTTGATTATTGGTTTGTGCCTTTCCATGAGTTTAATGACTCTGTGAAGTTGTTGTCAACCGTTTGGTTCTTGCATTGAGTGTCAAATAAGCTCTGCACCATGCTTTAGGAGGGTATTTGACCAAATCCCTTGCACCATCAAAATAAAGCTCTCCAAACCTTACCAACTGATCATGAAATTCCTTTTCATAGGTGCTCCAGGCACACCACCATAATAGCTTATTCATTTCACCATTCCTCCACTTTTTGTACCAATTGGCTTCAATGTGCCTCACACAGAACCTCTACTTTTCTTCCAAGCCTATTAGTGGTCTCAAGCCATCGTTCTAACCATGCTTCATAGCTTGGAAGCATATGTACATCCTCAAGAACCTTCTCTTCCTTTCAGCCAATGCATCCTTTGATATGTTAATAATAACATCACTCCCAGGATTAGTTTTCTTAATCTCCTGCACATATTCCTTAAGCTTATCATATTTATCTACAAAGCTACCCTCCAGCTTCTCAAGAACCATTCCTTTTGCCCCTTTTAAGCAAAGGAGTTGTTGATATTCAAATTAAAATCATCCTCCATAACCCCTCTCATATCCTTTACCTTATACTTGGGATTATTCCGTAACTTCTTCTTGAAATATACAGTTGAAGTAGTTACACTAACTCTTTTGTTTTTGAAGCATGGATTACAATTGTGGTTTGGGTTCAAAGTTTTAATTTTGAACCCAACAGTCCCATCATCCTCTTATATAAGACATACAAAAGGGCAAGCATTATCACACTCATATCTTATTCTTGTTGAGTTACTTTTTTTAACCCACAACCCCTTCTTGGTTTCTATAGCATAGAAATTTACAAACTGTCTAACTTCCTTCATATCCTTAAATGTCATCCCAAGTTCTAATTCCTTGAAGTTGTCTAAACTATTATAACGACCCGACTTGTCGTTTTAAGAATTAACGCCCATTTAGTGACTTAAAGTCTCGAGCAGTTTCATAATATGTATTATGACCCGCGGGTGTGGTCGAGTTTGAT